GAAGAGATTGACCTCCTAATTTAAAATTGAGGTCAGCGATGAAACCATGATACGGGAAGGGTCCACAAGGGTCGTGGGCCAAGGACCGTCGGAGCAACTCTGCGCCGAGTCGGAGTGACTGCTAGGCCGATATTCTGTCGAGCTCGCTCAGTGGCCGTTGTAGCTTTTCCCGGGTGTTTGTGGGTCCAGCGTAGTTGTTCGTCGTGGTCTGTTTCAAGTACATTTTACTTTTTTCTTGCTCCTTGAAGTCGAGACGCGCGAGAAAAGCACGTAGGAAAATAAACGTTCTTTGGTCGTCGCGACCAAGCAACTGAGCGACACTGTCGGCCATGTTGATTTGATCGTAAAAAATGCGTAAAACAGCTTCGGAGCTGTGGTAGGGTTCCATCGTAACCTGCGCTAAAGTTGCGATAATTTCGCTTCGTGAATACGAATTTTTCCTTACGTTTTGTCGTACGCACATTTTTGGCGTCAGATCGTTTCGCGATTCTGGCCTCTGAAGCGCTCGACGCAGCGGGACTTGAGGCGATAGCGGCCTCGCGGCGGTTGCGCAACCATTCGTGCTGCTGCGCACATGGGCGCTGGTTCCGCTCCCGTTCTTCTTCCTCCGAAGAAAGGTTGCCGACATCTATGAGCGACGGCGTCAACCAATTGTCTGGTGGCCGCCGTCGCTCATAGATGGCGGTAGCTGCCCAAAGTTCGGTGTCATCATTTTTTTTGCTAGTGGACACGACCCTGGGGAACCTAGCCGTTAACAGCTCCGCTGTAAAAACTACAACACCAGAAGGACGATAAGGAGCCGTGTATGGCGCTTTCTTTTTTTGCCGATCCCTTCCTTTCCTTTGCTTGGTGCTTGGTGTATTGTTTCACTCTCGTGTAACGCCAGTGAAGCCAGTCGCCTGCCTGCGCGTCCAAAGGCTCCACCGACCCCACCCCCCCCCCCCCCCCCCTCTCTCCCCCCTGTACTCTTTGCTTTGACGCTTGCTTTTTGTATCGCATTTTTTCGCATATAAGTTTGTTAAGGCTCAACGCAGGCTAGCAATTTTCCGATCATTTTATTTCTGAGCAACTGACTCGCTCACTGGCTCGGCTTAGCTGAACGTAAACATTAAAAAAAAAAAAAAAAGCTTTCAGCCTTTTTACTTTGGTGAAGGAAGACCAGCCGAGCTGTACAACGGAAAGTTATGGCCGGCCGCAAGTGTGCAAGCCAGAGTGGAAAGGTTGCCGCCATCTATGAGCGACGGCGGCAACCAGATACGTGGCTTACCGCCGTCGCTCATAGATGGCGGTAGGTGTCCAGAGTTCGGTGTCTTCATTTCTTTTGCGGGGGACACGATCTTGGGGAAACTAGCCCTTAATAAAAAAACACAGGACATAAGAAAAGGTGTTTGGTCGTTCACAGGGAAGCTCTTTTCTGTTTGAGGCGAGAGTGGTTAAGGAAAAATATGGGCTAAGTGTCGAGAGATACTTTGTGCCATACATGCCATAGTGATAGCGAAACACTGATTTTGATGAGGGTTCCCCTCTTTGAAGGGATAATGGTTTTGGCGGAAGCGCTGGGGTTTCATGGCGGGCATGGAAGAACGAAGGTACGATTAAACTCAAAAAAAGGAGAAGGTTCCCGAGAAGGTCTATACTCTCGAGAATCGTGACAGACGGTTGTCATAAAGTTCGTTTTCAGACGTTCTTTTTTTTTTTTTTCTTTTTTGTCACCGTATATAGCGTCAAAGTCGTCTTTCCTTGGGAAATGCGGATTCTGGGGCGAATTTGGTACTGAAACTTTGAGAACATGATAGCGCTTCAAGACAGGGACGAGAGCGGACATCGTGACGGTCATTTGTAAATGCACTGCCATGACTGTGGATGCAAACCTGCATTTAATTTGTGCACCATTATTAGAAAACAGAGATAATACGGTAAGGGGAATCATGGAAACAGACCTGATAAAAAAAAAAAAAACTACGGGAATCGATGTGTCAGCGTGGCGTGATCGATTTCGGCGACAAAAAAAAAATTGGGTCATGGGGATATTTATACAGCGTGTAGTTGGTCTGCCATTAAAGTTGCGACGAGTCACACGCTGTAGATGAGCAATTTTGCCAGTGCAGTACGACTGCTAACCTGGGGTCTTTAACGTGCTCACGCAGTAGTGATACACGACCACACGCCGGTACGATGCTCATCCAGATCGAAACGGGCAGGGGTGGGGGCTCGAGCCAACCTCGAGCCCAGGATCCCTGGGTTCTGCAGCGCGAGCTTTCGCTCCACGCGCGTCGAGCTGGGTGTGCGCTTCAGCCCACTCGGCCACCGATCCCCCCTCGGCGGCAAAGAGACGCAGTTCTTGCGAGCATTGACGTGGCATGGAGGGGATCGGTGTCCGAGTGGGCTAGCGCACACCAGCTCGGAGCTAGTGTGCGCTAGCCCAATCCAATCAGCGCCCCCCGTGCGGGACCCCAAACGTTACGTCGTGTGACGTAAACGCGCAGGCCTTAAAAACTGTCTAGGAGGTGTAGATGCTTGTGCTTCGGCCTGGTCTGTCGTACGTCCAGGTATAAAAACAATTCAGATAGCTCTTCGCCGATGCGAAATGATAACGCTGATGTCGCTTCTCCATTGAACTTGAATGCATTTGGATAGAACTTAGCCAAGTTCGTTGGCACATCGACCAAGGACGCGCTGCCCAGATTGTGATGACGACATGGAAGCTACACGCCACTCTTCTATGCGTCATTCTGGGCGGGGCTTGCGGCGTTCTTTTTGTTTCGCAATAATAAAATCGGAAGAACGCTGAAACTGATCGATGAATATCTACAAAACTATGACGTTTTCGCAGACTCTTTAAATTGGTCGAGTCTCAATGCGTCAATAATGCAATTCCCGCATGAGCCACAAAACTATTATTTAAATAAATATATTTCAAAATTTTGTTAGGAAGCCAACTTACTGTGAAGATTATTCCCTCATTCAACGTCCGCCGAACCGAACACTTAAGACGGCGAAAACGGCACCCCCGTAACTCTCACATCTTATCCAACACACTTCCTCTGAAATTACGAGTGATTTCAGAATTCGAGACATGTTCTGCTGGCCTCCAGTGTACGCCAGTCTAAAATACTGCACGTGTGGCCCAGTGTTGCCCACCTCACCGGTCATTTCTTCCCCAAATATTATCGTAAACTTTCCTAGATTTCCCTAGATTTGCAAAAAAGTGTTAAGTTACGTCAATATTGACATTATCGTTATGGAGAAGCTTAAGAATAGATTCCTGTAGTTTTGTGGCCATTTAAAAGTTAAATTCGCTTCGTTAAAACATTTTTACCTGATTAAACTTTGTTACTTTAGCCTTGTGTCGCCGCCCAGAATCGCTGTTGTTACCAGTGGAGCTTTTCTCTGGCCCCGACAATATACAAAGCGTTTTTACCGCTGCACTCGGCCGGAACGAGAGGTTGAAAGGAAAGGAACGTGTCTCTAAAGCCCTCTGAGACCCATTAGAAAACAATTCCTAGATTTGAACCAATTTCTCTTTGCCCCTAAACGATGACGGTAATTCCTAGATCTAGGGAAAAGACCCTACGGTTGGCAGCACTGCGTGTAGGGTGTTTGCGCGTCTTCGGCGTCCTCTTTCCGATCACCATCAGACAACAAACGTGATTTTGTACGCGTCAAAAACGAGAAACTATACCCCGACCGGAAGTGCGCCAGGGCTACCCAATAGATGGCGCCATTGCGTTTGTTGCGAGACCAAAAAAAGGCAAAAGCCGCTGTGCTGAGGTAAGCTCATATCAATGGTCGGCTGTTCCACAGGATGTCTATGCGAAACGTTGCTGCTAGGAGCTCCAACATGGCCCTTATTAAAATGGTTAATGAGTTTCTATTATTTCTAGAGTATTCTATAAGAATATATTAGAATCTCAATAGAAACTCATTGATCACTTTTGTAAGGGGGCGCCACTGTCGTCTCGCACGCTTCCAATTGTCCAAGCGGAGGGAAGCGCGCGTCATAGCTGCCTGCGATCTTGTGTGCCGCCATCTGTAGGCTGTGGCGCCCATCAGACGCCCTTTCTTAGCACATGTATGCCGTAGATAGGCATTTCTTGACATCCAGCGTTTTACTCAGGTAAGTTTGTTCAGTGATATGTTTAAGTTATGCCCTTGATGCTCGTTGTTCGGCCATCTCTGTACAAAATCTTTTCTGAATATGTTCACAAAGCGAGTTATGCGGTCCCTTCAAACAGCCATCGATCCGTTTGCTTCGCGCAGTGAATTTCGTAGCCCACCTATTTCAAGTGATTCGTGGCTCCGGAGTGAACAGCCGACGGAGTTTATTAGGGTGTTGGAAAAAAGTGCTTGGCTAAGTGTGTGTCCAAAGGCAGGTTTTCTGCCAAAGGCATCGGCCATCTTGGCGGTTTATGAGCCGCCGGGCATCGGCCAACTTGACAGAAGCCTTTGGCCGATGCCTTTGGGCTTTGGCCGATGCCTATGAGCCGCCGGCAGCCTGTTCAGGAAGCTATCCGTTGCGAGCAGTGTTCCCAACCTCCGCGGTCGTTTCTTCCCCAATTTTTATAAATCAAATCCCTAGATTTCCCTAGATCTCAAGAAAAAGTGTTAATTGGCGTTAATATTGAGATTATCGTTATGGAATAGCTTAAGAATATACCTGTAGTTCGGAGGTCATTTAAAGGTTAAATTGGCTTCGTTAAAACATTTTGCAATGTTTTGGGGGTTAAAACCCCAAAATCGCTCTAGTTACCATTGCAGATTGTCCCTGACCCCTACAATGTACAAAGAAGCCTTTATTCCGCTGCCCTCAGCCGGCACGAGGAGGAAAAAGGGAAGGAACGTGTCTCCAAAGCCCTCTGATACCCATTAAAAACAATCCCAAATTTTGAAAAAATTTCCCTTTGCCTTTAACGGATGACCCGAAATTCCTAGATCAAGGGATAAATTCCTAAAGTTGGCAACACTGGTGGGAGCTGTCGTGGTTCTCTTGTCCAGGAGCTGCCGCAGCCCCGACGCCTACCAGCCCGTGATGGCCCAGAACAGCTCGGCGGTTCTGCTGCTCGAGGACTACCTCCCCATCCTGAGCGTGGACAACAGCTCGCTGCCCAACGGTTCCTCGTCGGGGGCCAACGGACTTGACGACGACGACGACCCGCTGCCGTATCACGGCGCCGAGCTGGGTCGCTTTCACGAGTGGTACACGGGCAACCTGCACGGGTACCTCAGCATGACCGTGTGCATCTTCGGCATCGTGGCCAACGTGCTCAACATCATTGTCCTGACGCGGCGCAACATGGTGTCCCCGACCAACAGCATCCTGACGGGACTAGCCGTGGCGGACATACTGGTCATCGCCACGTGCCTTCCCTACACCGTGCAGACGCACGTCCTGCCTTCGGCCAGGAGGCAGTCGTACGCCGTGGCCGTGCTCATCCTCGTCCACGCCCACGTGAGCGTCGTCTTCCACACGGTGTCCACCTGGCTCACGGTGACCCTTGCCGTCTGGCGCTTCCTGACCGTCTCCTTCCCGGCATCCAGCAAGGCGTGGTGCAGCATCACTCGTGCCCGATGGGTCGTGGTTAGCGTCTACCTGACGTGCGCAGTGTGCTGCCTACCTGTGTACCTGTCCTTCACCGTGCACAGGGCCGGCTCGCTCGAGGATCCTTCGTACAGGGTGGACTTCAGCAACATCGCCCGCGCCAACGGGGCCTTCCTGCAGAACCTCAACTTCTGGACTTACTCCGTGCTCATGAAGCTCGTGCCGTGCGTTGCCCTGACGGGCCTGAGTCTCGGCCTCTTGCGTGTCTTATACAAGGCCAAAGCCCGCAAGAAGCGGCTTCGAGGAGGGGCCAGTGGCAGCTCCCGGAGCAGCGAAGACGCGCGCGACCGAACGACTCGCATGCTCCTTGCCGTCCTCCTACTCTTTCTCGTCACCGAGTTCCCGTCAGGCATCGCGGCCCTTCTGAGCGGCATTCTGGGAGACGACTTCTTTATACACGTCTACATGAACTTTGGCGAAGTGATGGACATCTTGGCCCTCGTCAACAGTGCCGTCAACTTTGTGCTCTACTGCTCAATGAGCAGGCAGTTCCGCAAGGTGTTCGCGGCGCTCTTCGCGCCTCGCATTGGCCAGAGTGTCGAACCGAAATTTATATCGGTTCGGTTCGAGTTCGGGTTCACGGCTTTCGATTCAGTTCCGGTTCGATTCCGGGGAGCAAAAAATAACGGTTCGAACCCGTTAGAACCGCTAAATTGAGAATATTTTTTCCGCGTTGTTTTGGCAATAAGCACTTTTTCCACCGTGAAACGAATAACTATACAGCTTTTTATCATTCGTACAATCCACTTTTATTTCAAGAACCAAAAATTAAAAAAAAAATAGATCTATTTACTTTCGACGAAACAGTAAACGAAAAGCTAGATTAACATACAACTGGTCATGCTTAAACGCTCAAGATCTAGTTGTTTACCTCAGTCTCATATATTTTCCCTGAACTGATAGGTATCACGAAGTCTGGTAGGTCGCCTAAAATACCCGTGTTTGGTACAAATTTGCGTGGCAGTATTAAAAGTTGAACCCTAATTGTGATGTTGAACTTAAAAATTAATTTCAGTGCACGAAATCATGGAATGGGCACCTCAGCGCCATATATATCGCGAAATCTAATTTACGAAATGCGTTTCACAATATATATGACGACAACTGAACTAAAAGCAATCATATTTTCACGATGTCACGAAAGCTTTAGGACAAGCCCTCGCAGTCTACAGTTTATAGAAAAACTGAGCGGCAATCACAACGCTTGTTTTTATGACCAGAATTGTTCAGACTCAGCACGGGGATGTAGGCGAATAATCATTCAGAAGAGTTATCCGATTGATCACTCTCATTTATCCCTACTTTCATACTCAGATCGAATCTGGCCCAATATAGTGCGTACTCAAGTGAACATTTTCGGCCTAGCTTGGCTGTTGATGTTCTTGACAAGATGTCGGTAAATTTCATTTGCAAATAAGTATCGCACTTGCTAATTGATGAGTTTTTGTTAATTGAAATAAACGACCTACTATTTCATACTCTGACGTTGTGGCTACTTAATTGGTCCCTTTCTGAGGGTCTGCGTGTTCCGCCACGCGCCCCCTTGTATTTTGTTTTTGTCCAGCCCACAGACTCATAAAATTGCTGTTCATCATATAAAAAAAAAAAGGCGATAACAGACTTGTATGTGTTTGAAAAGGTAAATAAGTGTCAGGAACACATAGTTATTTAAATCAGCTTCAAAATCAGACATTTGTTTAAGCTCTCCCAAATCATTTTAGACGTGACTATCGAGGATAAAAACGCCGGGAAATATTTCCAGCGCAGATACTAGATAATTTAAGGTGCATTTATTTATTACGTATATATCTTTACGGTGATTGGGTCTTTATTTATGTTGCCAAACATTCAGTCAGTAATTAAATACTGTATATTTTATTGGAATCAATAAATTTGACTGCAGGAAGTTTACATAACCGCTTGAGAATTTTCGAGTATCGTTCTCCACGACAGGGGAGAACGATACTCGAAAATACGTCATCTGTTGAGTCTTCAGAAACGTGCTCTTTTGTTCGTTGTTTGGCAATGGAAAACACCGGGTTGCGGGGTATTCCCAAAAGCGGCAACCAGATACGTGGCCAAAAGCGGCCAGATAGATGGCGGTAGGTGTCCAGAGTTCGGTGTCTCCATTTCTTTGGGGGGGAGGGGGGGGGGGGGGGGGGGGGGGGGACACGATTCTGGCGAAACTATCCTTTGAAGGAATGCTGAACCGAAATCTGGATTCCACAAAACACGCGGCAAAAGCGTGCAACGGGATGGTACAAACACTACAACATCACTCATACAGCGATATCTCGAACGGATGACCGTATCTTTTCAAAAAAAGGAGGCGCATTTGACAGAAATGTTCACGTCATGTTTCTCCGAGGAGAGGGAACGGCCTCGCGTATTCTCCACCTCGCCGCCTTTGAGGGGGCAAAGCGAACAGAGGAGGTAACGAGGTATCTTCACGTCACGCGCCTCGTCGGCCTGGTTCAATCTCGAGCTCTTTTTCCAGAAATACGGCCTTCCATTCGAGATATTGCCTTACGAGTAGTGTTGTAGGAATTGTAGCGTCCTGCCTACATCTCCTGCATTGTTTTTTTTTTTTTTTTTTTTTTTTTTTTTTTTTTAAATCCAAATTTTAGTTCACCATCCCTTTAACAGCTCCGCTGTAAAAAAGTAAGCGATTCATCGGTCTAACAATTAGCACGTTGCTTTCACTTGTGGAGATGAAAAGCATGTCTTCATTTTCCTTTAGCCCGAAGACCATAACATTTCACTGTCATCGTAAGCGCGGATGGAGGACTATGACGTCAAATTGCGTTGCGTGTGCTCGCGCACACCGGCGGCTTGCTGTCTCGTGGAAAGATAGTGCTCCACTTATTATGGACACTGAAATGTTTAGTTTAATATCACTTTAAAGGTTGGTTCAGACATCTGCGTTGGTTGCGTTCGCCTGGAACCGAAACGACCGTAACGACAAAAGTCACCTGGACAAGGGTTCGCTGTACATAACATGGCAGGTTCGACTCAGGGGCGCGCCCGGAAGGAGCGAAGAAGCGGCGCAACGTCACGAAATACGTCACATCCGGGGCGCGCACGACCTACAGCCGCAAAAAGAAGCGTTGCTTTGGATCGCGCTTTACCGTGCTTCTTGAAGCCGTTGGTGACTGCATTCGCTTTTGAGGCGTAATCAAAAAGATCCTTGGTCAAAAGTGCTGTGAGCTTTTCTCCTTGTTGGTCAAAAGTGCGGTGAGCTTTTCTCCGCATCCACCAGTTTTGCGGTGAGCTTTTCTCCGCCGCCCACAGCACTCCATGGCCTCAAACCATAGAGTGCTGTCACGTGGTTTCTTCCAACGCTCCTATTGGCTCGCGGGGGCCGCAGCCTCCACAGTTGGCCAAATTTTCGTGAAACGGAGTATGAAATATACACACATTTTGCTGAACGAGGGTAAGAGAGAAAAGGGGGAAAAAGCCGCCGGCGCTTTCCTCCTTACTGAGTAGTTAGGAAAAAGCAGAGCTGCCAACCTTAGGGATTTCCCCCTAGATCTAGGGATATCCGCTATCGTTTAATGGAAAATGGAAATTTGTTCAAATCTAGGGATTGTTCTTTTAATGGGTTTCAGAGGGCTTTAGAGACACGTTTCTTCCCTTTTTCCTCCTCGTGCAGGCCGAGTGCAGCGATAAAAAGGCTTCTTTGTAGATTGTCGGGGCCAGAGATTATCTCCAGTGTTAACAACAGCGATTTTATCGGGCCACACAAAGTCAAAGTAACAAAGTTGAATTATGTAAAAATGTATTAACGAAGCAAATTTAACCTTTAAATGGCCACCCAATACAGGGATCTATACCTAAACTTCACCATAACGATAACCTAAATATTGCCGCAAACTAACATATTTTCTGAAAATCTAAAGCAATCTAGGGTTCGGATGAATTTTGGGGATGAAACGATTGCGGAGGTTGGCAACACTGGCAACGAGAAAAAAACACGGATAAACGCCTGGAACGCGTGTGTTTCTCAAAGATCGATAGTTTTCTTCCCGGTTTCCTCTATTTCATTTTACTTCCAGATGGAATTAGAGCAGAATTAATGAGTTTTCTCTATTTCATTTTACTTCCCGGTTTCCTCTATTTCATTTTACTTCCCGATGGAATTAGAGCGGAATTAATGACGACAATCCCCTGGTCATCCGGACATTATTCTTCGGTAATAGCCTGCCCAAATAACAATCCAAAGCGAAGAATATTATCGCGGAGAACATCCGTATCGCGCACGGGATCCGACAAGACACCCGCGACTGCAATATCTTCGAACTCCATCGTTTTCCAAATAAACAAAACCTCCGGCGGCAGTGAGTTGCGTCTAGGGATGCCGCGAACGTTTTTCGAACTGAAGGTTCGATGATGAAATGAAGGGGTTCGAAAGGTTCGAAATATTTCGAAGTTTCGAACTTTCTGTATCGAAAAATCGACGGAAATCGAATTTTCGAACCTAAGAATTTCGACGCTTTTCAAAATTTCGAACTTTGCACGCTCAGAAATGCAATGCAGATTCAAAGAAATTCAAAATCTTCGAATTTTTTTACTTCCCATCCCAAGAGATCCAAAATTTCCCGATCTTTCGAAATTAAAGTTAGGAAACTTACGAAATCTTCAAGTTTCTCGAACCTTAAGTAAAAAAATATTCGAAATAATCGAACCCGAGCTTCTAGAAACCGTGAAAGCTTCGAACTTTTCGAAGTCGAAACTCCATGGTGTTCGAAAGTTGCGAACTTTTCAAATTCGCACCTCGGTACGGTTGAAAATATCGAAATCTTTCGATTTCTAACCTCCAGTTCGGTCCGAATATATCGAAACCTTTCGAATTTGAACATAGGGTGGTTCGCGAAATCCGTAGCTGCGTCCGTAAACAGAAAACACTTTTTTCCCGACGCCATCCTCTCGAGCGTGTGCTCGGAACATTTCATTAAAGGCCCTGTCACATTGAGAAAACACGGCGGAAACATCAACAAAACATGGGAGGAAACAGCAACACAACATGGACGACAGTGACAATGTTGTCTCGGTGTGACAGCTTCTGGCAACGGAAACCTCGGCAACTGGTGTCGGACGACACGTGTTGCCCATATCGGTGGCTGAGCGAATTTTTTTCCAGCAACACAGCAACATCTCTATTTTTCAGTACAGATAGTCGCACGAGAATACTTCAATAATTGACAAGGGAGGCACTCACTTGATCGAATGACGTTTTAGCGAACGCCCACGTTTCACCGAATGACGCTTTAGCGAATAGTCGGACGCCGCGAAGCGGCGCTTTCGGGTGGGCCAAATGGGTTCACACTTTTGTAATGAGCCGTCGAAGACTGTCGCCGCGAAGCGGCGTAAGCGCAGCGCGGCGGATGGGTTAACGCGCGCCCCCGTTATTCGCTAAAACGTCGATTCGCTCAAATGTCGCTGGTGCTAAAACGTCATTCGCTCATGTGATATGGACCCAATTGACAACTCCCCATTTCTAAGCAGCCGGGATACATAGCCGGAAATTTGTGACCCTTTTTTCGATGCGCGATTTCACTTTAGGAGATCCTCAAAGGAGCCGGTGTCCATCCGAATCCAACGCCGGTAGGCCTCGGAATCTTCAAGAGCCAGCTCCCGCATCAAATTCTCATAGGCACCTTGTTGATGCACTCTTGCGAGCCACTCGCTGGTCCATTTTGAACGCGGCTTCTTGCGCGGCGGCAGCTGATCGTCAGAATCATCTGAATCGATGGCACAAAGAAGCACCAAGGCAGAAGCTGCTGCTGTGGCCGGCGCGTATGCCATCCAGCAAGGGTCTAGCCCGGTAGCAGAACGCAACCGCCAAATCCAGAGAGCACGAGATGGTTCGCGCGGCTGATGAATCGACTACGGTAGAGCGACGGCGATGAGACGGCGATCCAAAATGGCAACGATTCAAGGGGCGAGCGGAGCCAGCGGATCTGAGCCTAGCCGCCTCGTTTCAGCTTCGGTCCAGACGCAGATGATGCTACAAACGCGAGCATGTGGCCCAGAACAGTGCTTGCACTGCACGAGCGCGCGTGCTTGGCAGGGATGCTGAAAGCCCGGAGCTCGCGCTTGTAGCTTTGGCTACGTCTGGACCGAAGCTGAAACGAAGTATAGCCGAGCCGAGCCGGCCGGCAGACGAGGGCCAGAGAGAGGCAGCGCGCAGGAGAGGAGACAATTTGTGTTCCTCCGACACGCTTTCCCGGTGTGACAGGATGTTCCCCGAGTGTCGGAGAACAAGTTGGGAAACATGGTTTTCGGACGACAGCAACATGTTTCCGGACTGTTGCTGTTTCCGCAAGTGACAGGGTCCCCGAAAATATGTTTTCCTCGTGTTGAAGGACAACGTTCTCCGACTGTTTCCGCAGTGTGACAGAAACATAATAAAGCGCGCAACGAAAACATACCGCGGTACCGTCCATGAACATGGGCTACGCTCGCAAGGTACAGGGTTCAAGTT